AAAAGTTGCTAAATGTGTTGGAATGATGAAAAGAGCATGTAATTTACTGAACACTAAAGCACGACTTGTACTGTATCATTCATTTGTTATGCCATATTTATATTATTGTGTTGAAATTTGGGGTAACTGTTACAAAACTCACTTACAGCCCTTGATCTCTCTGCAGAAAAAGGCCATTAGGATTGTCTCGGGTGTTCATCACAGACATCATTCCAATCCATTGTTCTTTGAGCTGGAAGAACTTAAATTGCCGGATGTGGTCAATTTTAAAACTGGTCAAATTATGTTCAGGGCATCTCAAAATTCTTTGCCTCCCAATGTTCAAAATGTATTTAGTGATAGAGATGCTCATCATAGTTACAAATTAAGAGGAATTAAAAATAGATATTTGCCCAAATTTAGAACCACTCTAAAATCAATGTGTATTTCAGTGCGAGGAGTTAAGCTTTGGAATGATTTGGTGGATGAATTAAAAACCTGTTCTAATATAATGCATTTTAAATATTTGTTTAAAAAAAATGTTATAAGGAAATATGTAGAGGACAGAGAATGATGCCCTCAGCATGAATCTAGTGGTGAGAGGGTGTTGAGGCAGAGAGTGTTTGGGCCAGTGTCTTTTGTGAGGGTGTGTGTGTGTGGGTGTGTTCTCTGTCTTGTTTTATATCAGTTATATACTAATAATTGTCTTTCTGTATGTACTGCAGGAATACTGTTGTTCTGGAATTACTTTGTTTGTATATTGTATTTGTATTGTATTTTGTGTTGAATGTGAGGGGGTTTGGAATTATACAAGCGTTGCTTCATCCACCTCCTTTTCAAACCATGCACTTGTATAAATTGTTTATATAGCCTGTAATGTTGATTTGTGAGAACGAGAATGCGGGTTTGAAATAAACATCATCATCATCATCAACCAGCATAACAAAAAAATGTTCTGCAGAGAATTACCTATAAGGTACTTTTAAATTGTTGTTCAATGGCTTTGGTCAGAACCATAGACAAAAAAAGGACAGTTTAAACGCAACAGAAACTCAGGCCAAATCTACCAAATGCAATTAACTAATCATCTGATAATGTGTCTGTGCAACGTTATGATTTTGCCTCTATTTTGGATGTCTTGTTGTTTCTTGCGTTTCGCCTGTATGTCATGAATATAGCCTTCGAACGCATATTGCAGCCCCTTTTGCCTACTTCTATCGGACACTTTATTTGCTGCTTTATAAAAGTTTGATAACATTTCAGCAGGAAGAGTTACAGCATAAGCCATGCAGACAGAGCGCAGATTAAGTTTAACGGATGTAGCAACAGTAACTAAGGGGGGCGGGGCTTAGCCAAAGGTGAGTTTTGTTTATATTTTCCATGCGTGTTCAGCTAAACTGGCCAATAAAAGACAATCTACTAGTCCTTTCTAATTATACTAATGTCTAAATAAAACATGTACAAATCTATTAAACTGATCAAAGATCAGGTAAAACCATAGGGTAAAACCCATAGACTTGTTCAATGATTCGCCGCAAGTGGTGAACAATTGAAATTTAGGAATGTTTCAAACAAAGCCACTAGAAGGCAAGCCTGCAACATTTAGCCAAAAAAAACTTATATATGCAATGCAGGAGCAGCCTGTGCTCATGTGCTTTGCTTTTGCAGTGTGAAACTGGTCTGCTGTATACCACAAATACAACATTATTCATTATTTTTATTTCAATTTCTTTTGTGAGAATTGCAATTCAGTATTCTTGTTGGTTGATAAGGTGTTGCTATGTGCTGTTGCTATGGTACTACTCAGGTTGCTATGGACTAGTTTTGTTTGAGAAAGGTCTTCAACGTGTTAAAACATACATGTTCTTCGAGCTCACCATGACAATTATACTAGTACTATACATACATGACAACTTCTTCACTGGTCTGGTCTATATTAAATTGTCCTCTCATTGAAATAAAAATTATGTTTTTGGGTGTTTTGGGAAGAGTCTCCTGTTGATAGTTAGAGCCTGGGCAAATTCAAGCTTAAACCAGCTGTGTGTCTGTGTTAGTATTCTTGGTTACAGGTTAAGTAACAAGTGGCATTATTGGAGATTGAATGACTTGTTTTCTTCGACATGTTCCTCAGAGGGACACTAGCATACTCAAGATCCTAATGGCAGCCATACAAACTGGAGATGGACTGCCTATTAGACCATGTGTGAAAATGTACTATGTTTATCTATTTCTTAACCAATCAAATGTCTTTAATTTATTAGAATTCTGACTCTTGTCTTAAATTGACTGTACTTCTCACTGCAGGCCTTAATTAATCATGTATTGGGTCGGTCTTTAAAGTGGTTGATATAATGCCCCTTTTTATAATATGTAAAATAAGTCTCCGGTGTCCCCACAAGGTGTATGTGAGTTTTAGCTCAAAATAGCCCCTAGATCATTTTTTACAGCATGATAAAATTATGCCTTTGTGAGGGTCAGTAAAAACGTGTTGATTTGTGTGTCCCATTGCAATGCGGAGCTTCAAGAGCTTGTTCTTAGCAGCTCAGATTACATTCCACAGACACGCAATAAAATGTTAGAAACTGTTCTGCCTTTTATGTTTAAAGTGGAGTCGGACAATGATGGAGAGACTCAGAAAGTGACAACGTAGAATGCAACAGGACATTTCTGAATGGTTAGCTGATGTGACAGTGGAAGACGAAAGAGGACTAGGTTTACTGTTTTGTTTTGTTTTATCCAGCAGTGATTGCCTCCTTTCTACAACCTTGAACCTCAAACCTTAAAATCGTTTAGGGGGGAAAGATTGGAAATATACTGCTTCGTGGTTGGTTTTCTGTAGGCCTATGTCGCGAGTCTGGTCAATTCACTTATAGCCTATACGTACACAAATATTTTTTCCCTGGAAGGATTAAAACAAATTTTGTGTGGTCAATATACGTTTTTTTTAAATACAATGAAGAACGACTGTATGTGTGTACCTACTTGGTTACTGGTCTGCTGTGAGATAGATGCACTGGATTATTTCCTCCAGCAGATGACAGCAGAATGCTAGGCTTTAGTGAACAGTATTCCCCTAATTCATGACTAAAGTTTTGTTAGGTGTTAAAATGTTATCGTTTAAAGAGGGTGTAAGCCAACAGAGTAGATGAAAATAATCATCATCATGAAATGCAATGGTTTGACTACAAACCATTTTTCTTTCATATATTTACTTCAAACTTTACTCTAATGTTTTACATAAAATGTAATAACCTAGTAGAAATTGTGATTAGAGCTTATAATATTGTAAGTTGCATACATGGCAACCGTTTCCACTTATATATTCTGTGTTATATTATTAATGTATGTAGCTACTCTACCCCAGCTTTATATATATTTTTTTTTCGTTTTGAATTCTCATTCTGTAGGCATTCATTAAAAATTTCGATTTTGAACAAAAAATAACCCTGATTCAACCAACCTCAATTATCTATGCAGTGAAATGAAAATGAATTGAACTAGGCTAATACAAAGAAAACAACTGAAACTTTCTGCATCACTCGTGTTCACAACTTTATGTCTGCAGTGCACCGGCGATGAACTCTTTTTGAAGAGTTAAACTACGTCATCGGACTTCCCAGCCTGTCGGGGGCGCTCCCGATATTACAACAACTATTTTTTCCCTGAAATGTCCACATATGTCGCTCTAAACTCTTTTCCCCGTACCTCTTTGATATAATAAACGCTTATTACATGCAGAAGGTTTCCCTGTATTTGAAAACAATGGACAGCTGCCAATAGAGGGTGGGGTGTCAGAGGAGAGGTGTTCGGTTCTCACTGCATAAAAAGGTTATGTCGTAAAGCAGAATGTCGTAAACCAGGTGCGGAGAGGGGCCTGGAATGGGGAGGGGGTAATAGAGGGGGGAGAGGGGGCTCAATCCGCGAGGCACCGTTAGACACAGCGCAAAAATCATGGCGGATGGCCCCAGGTGCCAGCGCAGAAAACAGACACAACCACAACGCAACAACGGTGAGTCCCACAGGCTGAGATCAGATCACACGCACAAGAACGAAAGGCAGAAAAGTTGTTTTAAATTTGTTTTTCCATCTTTAGACTAGTTTAATGACGACTTATGAAGTTGTGCAGTATGGGAGTGAACTGGGCACCGTTATACCCGAGTCTGCCCGGACCGTTATACGGAAGGACGCACGTCTCGTGCACTAACTGCGTGTGCATCACACTGCATTAAACACGATTCCGAATTTTAGCGTTTGTCCTGATCAGAAACTTGTGGCGTAGATTCAAGTAGCGCTGTATTAAAGTATCTGCTGCTTATTTCAAAAGACGGATCCCCAGAGGGCTTCTTGACAGTTCACAAATTGATTAAAATACTTAAAGGGACAGTTCACGCCTAAATCATTTAACATGTTGTTTCAAACCTGTATGTTTTGGACCTGTTCAGCAGAATGACAGCCTCAGTAACCATGCACAGCACATTTACTGTAAAAGATGTAATAAAAGTGAATGGCGACCAAGCCTGTCAGTCTACTCTATAACATTCATCCTAACATTTTTTTGTTACATGAATGTTAGAACTAATGAGCGAATATTTATTTTGAGTGAGCTGTCTCCTTAAGAGCGTCCAGTCCTGAATCTTAAAAGCCATGGTTTGGGAGTCTTTATTTGGATGTTTTTTTTTCTTCTAGATTTTACAAGAGGATATTTTTATTTAATTAATAGCAAATAACAATCTCCCATATTATTATTTTATTAATTTATTATTGTTATTCTTTCTCATTAAATATATAGCTTGTGACATTATTTACATCTACAAAACATCTAAAAAAAAAAAGGAAAAACAATGCCTATCAATATGATCTTAACATCAGATTTATTAAATTAATTTTAAAAGTAGGCTACATAGGTTTTTGCTTTCATCCTCTTCTTTATCATCTCAACATCCACGTCCAATCTTGCACTGAATAAATGTTGACTTCTGATCGACGTCACTTTCTCTTTAAATAACCTTTCCGGTAATCCGGTAATATAGTCCGCCGTGTAGTGCAGTTATGAGCACCGTGCTACCTTTTCCTGTGCGTGCGTGTGACAAGGAGCGCGGATCCGCTCGCGACGTAACACGCCCAGGAGCCGTCAACGTGTTTACCTGAACGGTGAGAAGACAACGGATCGAGCCAATGTCCTCTTTTACCGTTCATCGCACTCCTCGCGTGTCCAGAGCAGTGATTGCACAGACGCTGGAAGGGAATCGGTGTGTGAAACGCGATCTGCCCGACAGGAGCGCGAGACAGGCGCCCAGCACACTCCACAGCAAATGGCAACTTGTGCAGGTAGAGAGAAGATAGTGTTTGATTGCATGCAGACGTGCTTATGTCGAGCTCAGACCGATGACCGCTTTTATTTTGCTTTCATTCACTATAGAGTGATATTCCGCTGTATGCTCTTTGCTAGAAAACAGATTGTTTTGTTTATATTTTTATTTCCGCGCTGGAGTTTAGTTTCAGCGGATTGGGAAAGAAGGATTTAGTGCATAAGGTGGTTGTTAGAGCTGCTGTCCGTCGTAATACTGGTCAGAAGTCAAACAGGTCGTTTTTTTCCGTAAGGTATTTCTGTAATGGCGGTGTGGACCGTTATTTGCTGCAGTGAGGGCGGGGCGGCTGCTCTCGTATGTCGGAGACGAGCCAGGTAGGATAGGTGACGAAACACCTACATAGGTGCTTCCGTTGACATATTTTAGTTATTTTACCATTTTAATATAGTATTTAAACGCGATTTAAGCGGTATAACTACAGTAACAATTTGCGTCTCACGTTTCTTTGTAAGGAAACAAAGGTAGTCTATTCAGGTCCAGAGAGGCGCTGGTTCACTGTGTCCATCGTTATAGAGCGAATTTACGGTTTTATCCCTATCAAACATGTTGAGATTTGTTTCGGTTGTTTTTGTGCGATATGACAGATTATTAAATTTGACAAGAATACACAGCGCATAGTTTGGCGCGGACGGATATATTGTGTGACGACCGGGGGTGTGACGTAAGCGCTAGGAGGAGCAGTGATGATGCTGTGACTTTTATTTTCATTCTTCATGCCGCTGGTTCTCATGCTCGACGTGTTCACGAGGCCTTACGACCTTAAGGGCGTTTCTGCACGGAAATGAGGTCACTCTGTGGTTTTCTGTGGTCGAGTTACCCTGCCTCATGTTTGTTTCTGGACTGGAGAGATGTCTGTAGAATCAGCTGTCATGTAACGTGGCTGTGTGCTTGTGTATGTGTAGGATATAAGTCCTGGATAATGTGGTATGAGAGTTAATGTTATAATATGATATTATAATATGTAATAATAATGTAATAATAACACATCATATTAGAAGTGTGCATTTTACATATCAATTACATTTAAAGTGAGATGCAGAAAGACTGAAAATGACAGCCAGATTGTAGTTGCTTGGAGATTTTTTTTTTTTATTAAACCAAGGTATATTTCAGAAAACATGAAATAAAGGATATATGCTTTTAAAAGAGGGCATGTTTTTTCCATTCCTCATCCCTCCTGACCCTTTCAGTCGACCCCTGACCTACGAGGCCACACATGCTATCAATTAGCTTTTCTTCTGGGTTGGTTTTAAGAATTCACTGCCTGTTTCATAATCTTACGGGATAAATATATTATGGCTGTGCAAAGATTGTTTGTGTTTACATAATATATTTGTGTGTGCTGTAATTTTGTATATATAAATACAACATGCATGTATATATTTAAGAAAACGTGTTATTCATATATAAAATATATTTATATGTATTTATATACAGTATTTACATGCAAATAATTCTTAAATATATATACAAAATAATTATACACAGCACACACACATTATATTATGTAAACACATAGGTTTTATTTTGCATGTGATTAATCGTAATTATGCTAGTATCTTCAAATTTTCTACTATATTAATATAATATCAGGTAGGCTATTACTCTCCCCCTCTTATCTCTTTTTCTCCAGAATAGATGGATTAGAAAATTTCCTTTCAAATTATGCCAATGACATTTATAACAATGAAGTGCATTGTTATTCGTGTCTCAATGCGTGTTGTAAAGGTATATGCATGGAACAAGCAATGACAATAAGAACACCTGTAGCACTGAGCTCTTCTCACACTTCCCTGCTGATGGAAAAGGGATATGTGAGGGCATTAAAGAGCTTTTCACATTTCACTCTGTGTTTGTGGGGGGGCTTGTGACTGCTGGGCATCTCTTTTTGCATGCTAATCTCTCCCAGTGGTTTGCCGCCTCTTTGTACGGCAGGGGGAAAGTTTCTCAGGGTGAAGGGGAGGTCTTTTTTTCTTTTTTAGGGTGGGGGAGGGTTGGGAGGGACTTGTGTTTGTGTGATCGAAAGAAGCAGAAATATATGTCGGTGATTAAGTTTACATGGATGTAAAAAGGAAAAGTTGTTTAATTGGTCTCACGTGGCTCATACAGTGTGTGTACATGAGGGCTCTTATTAACCTAAAGACCTGGGAGAAACTAATCTCAGGTGACCACTGCTTCTCAAGTGATTCTAAATAGATTGTGTGCCAACACACACACACTTACTGCATTACATCTCTCTCTCTCTCTCTCTCTCTCTCTCTCTCTCTCTCTCTCTCTCTCTCTCTCTCTATATATATATACACACACACACACACAAATGCATTTATACAGTTGAGTTCGTAAGTTCGCATGAATCCGCAAGATTTTTTTTATCAAAATATTAACTGAAATTACAGAAGTCATTCTGTTATCGTGTGTAATTTCCTTTATTACTTTTTTGTGATAGATAGGTGAGTAGTACATAATTTCTGAAGACCAGCGCTATATTTAAAAGAAATTACATTTGGTATGTTTGTAATAAAGGAGTTTATAAACTTACAAGATAAAAGAGGGTACTGCAAACTTGTGCACTCAACTATAGGCCTATATAAACACAAACATGCATCATAAAAACTTATATATATGTATTATATATATCTTATATATCTAATATATAAAAATATATATTAGATCAGAAATAAAAAGACTATCATTCAAAAGTATTTTTGTTGTATTGTAGTGTTATTACAGTTTTGAAAGATTCTTTTCATATATTTGTGGAAATTAATTTTTTCTGGATTCATTGATAATAGAAAGTTCAAATGATCTGCATTTAAATAGAAATAGACATTAGTAATATTATGTCTTACTCTTTACTGATACTTTTGATCAATTTAACTTTGCTAAAATGTTAATTTCTTCCTATATCCACAGTCACACTCACATACATAATATGCAAGTTAATTGCTGACATTAGATATTTTTTAATATTTATCAGTTGTCTTTAAATTCATGCCCTTTTAACATACACAAACAGAATCGTAATGCACTCATTGGTTAATTTGTTTTTAGAATATCAGGGTGATCTGAACGGTACTCTCTTATGCGTCTGTGGGTGTTGTGTGTGTGTGTGTGTGTGTGTACATATGGTGGCAGGTGCACTCTACAACAAGCCAAATCAACACATCCCAGCAAATGTCACATAAAATGGAGCTTGCCATGGTGATCTGATTGTGTTGATTATGAAGTCACACTGGAAACGGTTCTACCTGCCAACACGGTCTGTCACGCAGGTGGTGCACAATAAACACACCCATGAAGGCAGCACAAGTGTGCATGCCCCCTTTAATGTGCACCCAAAAATAAAACATAATTTACTCACCACCATCATGTCGTTCCAACCCTGTATGACTCGATTCTGTGGAACACAAAAGCAGATATTCTGAAGAATGTTCATGCTGCTTATTTCCATACAATTAACTCTCGTGCTACATTAAAGGGACCACGTGCAGGAAGTGGTGAAATTGTTTTTTGCATTCAAGGAATTGTGCTCTCCTTTTTCAAAAGCATGTTGTATCTACGGTAACCATTATGTACCAAAAAGCTATAACAGGATGTCTTCTAATAGCACTTTGTCGAGTGTTCCTTCAGGTGAACAGGTTAGTTATTTTAACTGCAACTTGACACAACGAACAAACGAATGTATTGTTTAAATAAATGTAAAAAATATTGATTTTATATAATAAAATACCTAAAAAGTACACATTGTCTCTTTAAAAGTCTACTTATACAATAGAACATAGTCAGGTTAGATACCAATGCCATATTGAATTTTATGCAGATGAAAATAAGCCTGTGAGGGATAGACTTAGTCTTTACACAATGGCACGCCCTGTATAAAGGTTCACATCTTTTTCACAATTCACAACTTTTACGTTTTTTTGTTTTTTTTCTGAAAGATGCTTAGTCAGCTGAACAATCGGTATGTTGTTAAACAACAGTACAATCCACGCACTACAAGTATATCCCTCACAGCCTCGTTTTCAATGCAGTCAAAAATGAAATATGGCGCTATCCTGGTCTTTGTGTAAAGAACATACAGAAATGAACGGTGTGTGATTCATATCAATCGGTTTTGTCATTACGAGTGTATCTTTATGCCACAGAGAACTATAGTATAGCTTGTATGGAACTTACTTTTTGGTAGGGACCACTTTTTATGTCAGATAAGTACTTTATGAAACTAAGGTATACATAATTGAAATTTCATTATCTATGCTGACTGAAAAGTCAGGGAGTCTAGGAAACAATCGATCTTCTTGTTTTAAAAAAAAAAAAAAATAGGATGAGATCCACCATGCTGATTCAGAGACGATCACAGACTCCTCTCATTGTGGCTGGAACAATGAATGAAAATATTTTTTTCAATTTCAAATGTATTTTTATCGGGGCCAAAAGCATCTCTGATTACTACACACCTGCTCAAGTGACTGTGATTTCAGCTGTCCAGGGGATGGGACAGACGTTCAGTAGTGATCTGGATGAGCTGTGAGAACAGAGAAGATTTTTGAAAAAGTTTTCCATCTGTATGGCAAAAAAAAATAAAAATAAATCATAATTTCCATTTTTTGCATGCAGGTATGTGAAATTACCTCGTACAGATCATTTCAGAGAACAGAAACCTTAAACGGGAACTGTTTTTTGCACAATCAGATTCACTTTTACATCACTTCCTGTTGACATCCTCAAATTCTGCCAGTAGAATAAACTGGATGAGCTCCACAGAAACCAAGCATGCTTAAATCTGTATTTAAAAACACAAATTTGACATGCACATCTGGAAATATTCTTCGTATCCGAACATCTATGCAGACACACACACACACACACATGTTAGAGATGAGTTTTCCAGTACCTCATATGCTTGTGCACAATTTGAAAACTAGAGCTCATGGATTTAGAGAAAGGAAGGGATCCATGTGTCAAAAATCGCTGTATCTGCACTAACATGCTATTAAAAGCACCTTTACACACTGCTCGTCTTTCCTTTCTTCAACGTGTCTCTGATGATGTCACTCAGCAGGTAAAAAGCTTTTCTGGGCTGCAGGAAACTGATCTAAAATTAGACGAATCTCACTTCCTGTCTTTAGGGCACAAATTCTATCTTTATTGTATGCATGCTCATTTATCAGGGATGTGTGTGTGTGTGTGTGCGTGCCTGTTTGATTGTATAAACCCTCTATTTTCACAATAATTTTAGGTTTACAGTAATAAAAAAACAGCTGTTACTGATTACAGAAACATCACCACTTGAAGTGTCCTGTTTACAAACATATGTGCACATGTTGTAGCCCTCAAACCGTATTTACTTTATAGCCCTTAATCCTGTAATTGTGGACAAATGTGGGCACAGAGGACTCAGGTGTGATCCTTATTTTATTATTTATTATAAATGTTATATCACTGTCTTCGATAAAGTTTTGTCTATCCATTTATGGTGTTTTTTTATATTTTGGGGGTATTCTTGAATTTATTTACTTCAAAAAGTACCATATTTTCTATGTTAATTATGATTATTTTTATGTTTAATTTTTTAAACTACATATCATTACAATAAGTTCTTAGAGCTAAAACCTAAAGATGAAGTGACTTTGCTGTCCCCTGGTGTCGTATTTTTGGCTTATTTTAGAACGCTCTAAATTACATTTTTATGGGTGCCCATTTTTGACCCAAATACAAGATTAAGGAGTTTTTGCTCCACCCACTTAACATTGTAGAATTGAGTCAAAAAAAAATGTGTGTTCAGGAGGCAAACTTAGGAAAAGTAGCCAAGTCTTGTACCGCTCAGATCAAGGGACGCATTTTTTAAAAATAAATCAAAACTATTTTGCCCACATTTGTCCAGAATACGGTTTTAGGGTTAACAGTATCGAACATGGCCAATAGTTAAAAGAGAGTATGAATATCACTGTTAATTGGCCTTTGTGAACATCTGTGATCCTAAAATGAATAGGCCATTCTCTCTATCTCTCTGTTATGTAGTGAGGAGTTTAAGCAGTGTGCCGGAGGCGACCTCAGATTCAGATGATGAAGACAAACTGCACATTGTGGAGGAGGATAATATCGCTGACGATCCCGACCAAAAGTCCTCAGTATTCCAGCTCAAAGCAGCGCGGCAGCTCTCTGACGCATGCACACAGGATGGTGAGTAAACAAACAAGAAATTAGAAACTTAATGCATTTATTTTGATTACAGACCAAAAGTTTTCAGAAACGGATGCAATTATAACCTAAACATTTTAAGTATTTATGTAATAGACAAAGTTGCAAGAATAAGGGTAATTGATGATTGACAGAACATCTTACCACAGCATGGCCGACGATCGGCCATTGGTGAGTGTCTGAAGGGCTAGTTTTTGCGGTCAGCGGGAGTTCCCCCAATTCAGCTTGTTGAATTGGCTTCGGGCCATCGGTGAGAGATCACTCTGATTGGCTGTTCAGTTTATCGAGCGGCACAGACAGAAGGCTGGTCTAATTTTAAGTATCTTACCTAAGCATTCCGGAATCTAGAACGAAGAAAGTGTTCAACGTGATTTATTTTCAAAATGATAAGCAAGCCCTGCTTTGTTTACACTTTGTATATCCGCAGTCATAGTTTCAGTTTCCGTTTTTGAATGATGAATATCGACTGATTGACACTGCTGATGCAGACAGTCATTTCCCTACACGCTGGCACAGAACACACATGCTAGTGGACAGTCGCCTGTAGTCCTTTTGCGGTGTTCAAATGCAGCCAAAGTGAGGCAACAACACAGTCAGCTTTTGTCACCGCTAGTTCTTTGACGTCGGCTTTGTGTGTCACAGCCTTAACTGGTACATAATCTAGGCCCTGTTTACACTTGCTATTGATCGCTAAACACAGGTGTAAACATTTTGAGATTGTTCACAACCAGAATGCTTTTGTAGTGTAAATGCTCATGTGGTCGAATGTGTTCAAACTGCCACAAAAGGCCGCCTACTGATCTAATTAATAAACAATAGGGAAGCGCGTTAGCCAGACGGGAATTAAAGGAGCTGTATGTAAGAAATGTATTTCAAATAATCATAAAATGGCCCTGATATGTCACTACACAATAAGAAATCAGTAATACAGTAGTAATACAGTAATTTGAAAGTGATTGCAGTACCAGTTTTGGCCACAATCTTACATACGGCTCCTTTAAACTTTGTGCGCTTTCTGATTTCTAACACACACACTCACCGAATTTACCGTGATCTTGCAGCTATCAGAGCAGACACGAAAGCTGATGTTTGAATAGTACATTGATTTCATCAAAACAATGAAGTAATGGATTTTTTTCTTTTTTTCTTTCAACAGATGGCAGCCTGGGGCCAGATGCTTTAATACAAGAAATAAGGGTCAAAGGTCAGTTCAGTGCAACACACTTTTATTTTTCAGTTCATTTCATAGGCTTTTACTAGTATAAAGGCTGGATTACACTATGTGACTTTCGCCCCATCTTGCAGTATGGATGAGTATGACTATCTGCAAATTTTGGGCAGGTGGAGTCGACAGATTTCACACAAAATTGTGTAGTGTATGATGGGCACAGACTCAAGTTTTTAGCTTCACACTATGATTCCATCCAATCAGAGGATAACCAAACTGGTATTATTAACACATTGTTTTCATTTGTCACACATCTTCTAGAAACAAGGCACGTTTCTGCATGAGTTTGTTGTGTGCGGAACAACTTGAAAGTCTGGTAGTGTACGATCCTCAGTCGTTTAGTGTATGATGCCCAGTTTTTATCCAGTTATTAATCATATCGTAATCGCGATGTCAAAGCTATGCGATTATATAATATCGCATAAATCGCGCGATTTTAAATAAAATATAGACAAATTAGGGCTATTAACGCAGCATCTCTTCTTTTTTGTCATCCTTTGATTAGTGTTACATGATCCCGCTCTTATTGGTGCAAATGCCTTTTAACCATTTTGCACGACAAGAAGTGACGCTCCCTGTGAATGTCCTGAATGTGACCAAAGTCTTTTTAGTCTCTGATGTGACTCACAGACACATGCACAGACCGCGTGCCAGAATACAGTTCTCTTTCGAGCTTGAACGAACAATAACGCACACAATTATGCCAAAATGCCGTTTTGTCCAGTATCTTCATAACATAAGAGCAGTCTTAAGTTATGATGGATGAAAAGAGTTGTGCTTGTGAGAGAATGAGTCGTGTGTGAGAAATACACATTAATACACAGAATGATCACTAATCTGTGTGCGCATTTTTACTTTAGAACCAAGTTGACTCATGCAACCATTTGTTTATTATATCGCAATCGCAATATTGACCTCAATAATCGCAATATTTTCCCCAAATCGTGCAGCCCTATGTTAGCGTTTACTAAGCCAGAAAGTGTATTACAGCCCTAGGACAGGACAGCGAGACATAGAACAGAAACAACAGGGAGAAACAGGAGTAATGGGATATATCAAACAAGTTTATAGTTTCATATTCAGGTTGCCATCTTAAGACTTATTTGGGCACTTGGGCCTTCTTGTCATGGAAAGTTCTTGAAATTATTTTGGTAAAGGGAAAAATAGCTGACATGTCTGTGAGTGTGTTAGGGCGATGATGGCTGGATCAGGTGTGTGTGAGCTCATTTCTCTCGCTCAGGTCGTTATTAAATGTGCTATGGAGGCGTGGGCCTTACTGGCCCATTTCCCGTTCAAATATGAATACACTGTTATATTAAAAACCTGCTATGTTACCATCCAACATTCAAATTCTGTGTCAGTGTATGTCACATCTTTTCCATTTAAACCAATGTGTGTTTCACCTAAGGCCACAGTCAGGTTGTTTTTTTCGGTGTCCCACGGGTCCTCAAAAGTCTTGAATTCAGTTGAATGTCTTAAATATCTAAACAGTATTAGAAATGTTTTAATTATCATTTCATTAGGATCATCATAATATGGCTTCATGTGAATATTAAACCTCCAAAGGCTATGATTTATTTTTGAGCACTGCATGTTTCAAAGTAAAACTGTTGTGTGTTATACAGGCTTGTGGTTTCAGTGAATATCGCGCATTTATGCCAAGCTACTGCTTTGATCTACTGTTGATGAATTATGACAATTTTTACCTAAGGGTGATATCATACCTGCAAAATCAATGCTTTTCTAAAATTGTCAGAGAGTGAATTTTCATTTTTATTCAGCCAGTGGATCTAAAAGAAGCTAATGTGCATTATTAAAATCTAAACAATGAGTATAATAAGGAATAAGAGTTGTTTAAATCGTTATTTTTACAGTCATTTTATGGTTTGGTTGCTCTAGCCTGCACATAAATTACATAGTATTCATTTTACTTGTGCACCTCTTAAAAAATTCTAGATACCATGTTTTTGTGCATGTGTCTTTCTAATAAAAATGCTAATATATTTGTTACTGAAGCAGAAGCTGAAAAGAGGGTATGTGTGTGTGTTTTAGTTGATCTAATCTGCCTGTGTGTGTTTGAAAGAGGAGTGTGTCACTGATGAGGAGGACTGTACTGATAATGAAGTGGCCAGTGAGGAAAAGCAGACGGAAACGGAGCACGTTGACTCAGACACCCAGGAGGAGCATCAGAGAACGCCAGAACGAGGGGTCCACGATGAGAACGGTACCAATCTAGGTTTTTTTTTTTACTTTCCTTCAGTTGCCATTAGCTTTTCATCATAATGCCATCAGTTGAATGCATAGATTGATTACAACTCTCTCTCTCTCTCTCTCTGTCAGGTACACCTGATGCATTCTCCCAACTGCACACCTGTCCTCACTGTTCCCGCGGTTACAAGCGGCATACGTCGCTGAAGGAGCACATTAAACTACGGCATGAAAAGGGCGATGACAACTACTGCTGTTCCCTCTGTAGCTACACCTTCACTTACCGAACGCAGCTCGTCCGTCACATGACCGCACACAGACACGTCCGAGAGCAGGTACAAGCAGCACTCGCACCTTCGTGATGTTCACACCTCTGTGGAGGAAATGACACAGAGCTTTTGTTCACAGTCACACTTTGACTCAAACTACTTTGAATGAACAAACTTTTTCCTGTCTCTTTTCTCAGCGGACTATTTCTCAGTCGGGCGGAAACAGAAAGTTTAAGTGTACAGAATGCTCCAAGGCCTTCAAATACAAACATCACCTGAAGGAGCACTTGCGCATTCACAGCGGTAAGTTGCCAGCCACAGCACAACTTAAGGACCCTAGTTATAACCCTAGTTAATGTCTTTGAAACCCTGTTCCAGAGAAGGGTTAACATATTAGCAAATGTTATACAGTAAACGATTTTTATAAAGAATTTACCGCCAATTAGGAAAAACGTAACACGTAGTGCCTAATTTAATTTGATTAAATTAGGTGCTTTATGAAGTGGCACTTTATAAACTAGGCGTTAATGAAGGTAAAGTTGCAATTGTGTAGTTGTTTTTTTCTTCTCTGAGGCCTTCCATAATAACCTTCAGAAGGTTAATGAAATAAGCTAATTAAAACAGGTTAATTGTTCAATTAAAAATACAGTAAAATATTTAGTCTAAAAGGTAGTCTTTACTCATGCCTTCACAGCTGTGTGAACATGATAATAGAAAAAACAAGACTCTCTGTTCTCGTAATTCAGGAATAATTCAGATAAAGGACACATGATATTTCTATGCCATGTCTATTATTATCAGCCTATTAAAATTTACACTACACTACTTTTGTAATCATAAGCTTCTTTTTCTCTGTGTTTCTACAGGCGAGAAGCCATATGAATGCTCTAATTGTCGGAAGCGTTTCTCTCACTCTGGGTCCTACAGCTCTCACATCAGCAGTAAGAAGTGTGCGAGCGTGACCAAAGCGGTCAACGGCCTTCCTCGCGCACCTGGAGTGAAAACATCTCTTACCATTTCTCGCCCTACACAAATCCTTTTGAGGGAGAAGGTGGAAGTCACCAACAAGCCTCTGCAAGAGCAGCTCCCCCTGAAACAGATCAAACAGGAGCCTGTTGAACACCAACCCAAACCTTCGCCAGCAACACCTACAATAGCCCCCACAAATGCCAACGGGGTCGTGGCTCCGCAAGGCGTCATCCAAACCTTGGTCCTGCCCACTGTCGGGCTGGTCCAGCCAATCAGCATCAACCTTAGTGACTTACAGAATGCGCTGAACGCTGCGATGGACAGGCAGGCGTTGACTAGTGGTAATGCAAACGGAACAAACGCTAAAATCATAGGCCAATCGCAGACCCAAGCTGTCGTGTTGCAGCCACAGCAGGGACAGCCCCAAGTGATCTCCGCCATCTCTCTACCGGTTGTGGGACAAGACGGAAATACCAAAATTATCATCAACTACAACCCCCAGCTAGACCCACAACTCAAGGGAGTAAAAGTGAACACAATGCAGCCCACAGTGACCCAAACCGGTGTGGCGCAAGAAAAATCTACAGCATCTAACATCGCACAGCCAAATGTGATCCAGCTAAATTCAGTGCAGTCCAACTTGACCGAAACCCAAACATCAGGTACACCTAAACCTACACAGGTAAACATAATCAAACCAATCCAAAGCAAACCGCCATCTATCATCAAGATAACGCCAGCGCAGGCCGCCAGGTTGGTCCAAGCTCGGGCGGCACAACCTAAGCTCACCCAGCAAACTTTACTACTAGTGAGGAGGGCAGATGGGTCGCAGAGCCTTGTGGTTCGACAAATACCTGTCGCCAATCCCAACACGCAGGGCACAGAGGTGAAATCAACCCCAGACAAAACTACAAACACACCAGCAGCAGAAAGAAAAGAGACAACTGAAAATCCCAGTTCGCTGGAGGATAATTGTGAACCTCAAAACCTGACTGCACCACCAGAAATCAAAATCAAAACCGAACCGGGCTCTCCGTCCAACATCGAAACCGATATGCAGAGTGAAGGAGAGGAAGAAGAGACGCAGACAGACGGGAATAATGGGGAAGGGAAACAAACGACTGATGCGGTCTCCCACTCTGGAACGGTTCACAGTGGCGTCGCCTGCGGAGATAACTTCCATAACTATGCGACATGTCTGGTTTGTGACAGCTCCCAGAGTAAACGGAAGCTCACAGACTCGCAAGACAGTGACGACAAAGCTACAACTATCTCTCTCAACTCTCTGCTGGATAAGGATAAGAGTGGAGCAGCAGAACGCCTCCTCCCTCTTCTGAAGGCCTACAGTCAGAACCCAGAGCCTACTGACGGGCAGCTGGCACAGGTGGCCAAGACTGTCAAGTTACCTCTAGAGGCGGTCAGCAAGTGGTACCAGAAGATGCGCTCGAAAAAGATATTGCTCCAGGGTGCAAGCAACCCGAAAAACAACAAAGAAGTAAGTACAAAACATTTTATTGAACTGTAAAACAGAGCTGTCACAATTAGGGCTGTTATGAATACCAATAATTGTGTAATTAAGTAAAAGCTTAACACAGATACACAATAAAAAGTCATTTATTCTCATTTAACATGGATTGATGAGTAAATAAGCTCAGAAAAGTTATGACAATATTTTAAATTTTTTAAATATTTACAAACACAGAATGCATGTATGTTTAATTGTATCAAAAGATTTTCAGTAAGATTTTTGGAAATAAATCTTTTATTGATCAAAACTGAAGACTTTTTTATTAAAGAATTATGAAAAGATTTATCTTCCCACAAAAATATTAAACAACTGTTTTCAAGAAGGAATGTTTCTTGAGCATCAAATCAGCATATTATAATTAGTGGTGGAGGAAGTACTGAAGAATCTCAGTACTTAAGTAAAAGTACAAATAACCAGATAAATATTTACTTTAGTAAAAGTAGATGTAACACAATGACAACCATACTTAAGTAAAAAGTGTGCCTGATTTTAAATGTACTTTAAGTATTAAAAGTAAAAGTACTTGCATAACAATTTGATTCTCTTAATGACTATTTTCTAATGATTAATAAAACATTTAATTCTAACTCATTCAACCTAATAATGATGTTCAATAATGATGGAAAAAAATTGTTGTCACCATTTCTTAAACAATCTTGGCAATTAGGCAATATAAACCATGCTTATATGTTAATAATTATGTTTGGCAGTAAACGTGATTAATTTATGGTGTAATTCTGAACCTCTTGGCTTGCCATAATCCTAACCAAACGTATATTACACACGGTGTGTTTCTTATGCATGTAAAAACAAATTTTCGCGTATATAAATGGCACGATAAACGCACTGCGTGCAAAACGCATTTAGTTGCTGTATCTATGGGAACCAAACGTCACTGGTGAGACAAACGTGCAACGAACGGACGGTCAGATTACGTTTTGGCAGGGGAAAAACTGATCAGAAAATGTAATGAAAATGTAACAGAAGTTGTAGAAACGTAGTGGAGTAGAAAGTATAATAATTGCTGCAAAATGTAACAAAGTAAAAGTAAAAATTATGCACTATTTATTCTACTTAAGTTAAGATACGTGAAAAATTTACTTAAGTAAAGCAACAAAGTATTTGTACTTTGTTACATTCCACCACTGATTATAATGATTTCAGAAGGATCATGACACTGAAGACTGGAGTAATGATGCTAAAAACTCTGCTTTAACATCATTACCTTCTAATATTATGGGCGTTAACATGCTGCGTTAACGTGAGACTCTAATCGGGCGATAAAGAAAAATTCGCCGTTAATCTATTCTCAAAGTTGGGTTGGGAGCAGGGTCTATACTAAACAAGCTATGATGACTTTTGCCTTGATATTTTAGTGCAGCTGTATATCTAGCTGAATAGCACTGGAGTGGGCATTTAATACCAATATACTGAAACATCCATACTCCCTTAATAAAGGAGTTCAGACATTGGTAAAAGATCAGTCTATGCGTTTTATATTTAATCTGAGGGCCAATAAGCCAATCACTTAACACAAACACCTCTCTCTCCAACTTAAACATCACCTCCATTCAAAATGTTTAACAAACACTCTTCTTGTTCGGGCTTCAGTTTGCAAATGCCGGGAATATTCTCCACAACAGAGCGATTTGCATCCCGTATCTCCATGTCTGCGGCAGTTTTCAATTTCCTTATCCTAAAATACAATCTTAAACTAGTGCTTAGCGTCTACATCACGGCTCTCAGCCCGCCCTCTGTTTGTTGATTGGCCGGCTGTTTTCAGGCCGGAGGAAAACTGAGAGATTGCTTGCTATCTAAGACTGAAATAGCGTGGAAGTGCGAAGTCTGATGTAGTCAGGCTAAGTAAGTAAATGCAGCCTTGGAGAGCATAAGATAATTCTATGCAACACATTTAAAAAATTGAGCCTTAAACTTGAAAAAAGTGTGTATATACATAAATAATATATTTACAGATTTTTAAAGCATAATATAAATGTTTTAATTATAGTTCACTATAATTATTAAAATTATAAGACATGTTAATGCATTACCTAATGCACAAGGCAATTATATAAGCGTGTCAAGGCCTAAAAAAAAACATGATGCTAATGATTCCTTTTAAAATGAATGAGTTGTTCCAAAACATGTTAATAATGTCTTACTTTCTTGTCTGATCAAGAAAAAAACACCGTCTGCTGTGTCTCAAGAAACAAACTCAACTCAAGCCACCTGCACGCCCACTCAACCCGATGATGACACCTCAGAGGACACCCAAAATGAAAGTGTCGCTTCACCCGCCTCCCCTGCAGCCAGTCTCTCCACCGATGATCTCGTCATTGTAAAGACAGAAGACATAGAGGAGGATCTGCAGTCTGAACCGCTCGACCTCTCACTCCCCAAATCCAGCCCAACTCAACCCAGCACCACCACTAAGCTGCCGGTCTCCACTCAAAAGGAGCCGCTCAACCTCACCTGCCTCAAGAAGCAACCGATGCCAGGAAACACCATATATGTGACACAAGGCACCACAGGTCACTTGAACATCATGACAGCATCATTGCCAACACTGGTTGCCATAGCAGAGCCAGGGGGTGTTCAGTGCATCGGCACTGCAATATCCGGTAACAAGAGAACCATCCTGATCCCTCAGCTCACCTACACCTACACCACCAACTCCAGCATCAAGACCCCTGACAGTGTCTCGACAGACAAGAAGGGGACGGTGATACTCAACAACTGTCCGGTAAGCACAACAAACACACACAAGCATTAAGGTCTGCACGTACCTTTCTTCAGAACATCATTGCAGACTCATTCGCTCTGCGTTTCTCCCCCTCAGCAGGTCCCGGACATCGCTTCTGACTGCGTGTCAGGGGTAGAGGACCAGAACGATGAAGATTCACCTCTCATGAAGAAGAGGAGGAAGACTGTCGGGGGCCTTTACGCCTGTGATCTGTGTGACAAAATCTTTCAGAAGAGTAGCTCACTGCTGCGACACAAGTATGAACACACAGGTACGTAAAGCCACACATGATTTACAGCATTTGGGCACTTGAAAAGGTTTTAATATAGTATTAGAAGACAAAATATACCTGTATATAAACTGCTCGCAACCTCTGCAACTCCAAGGTCTTGGGTTTGATTTACAAGAAAAACAAGGCTGATATAAAAAATATTAAATGAATATATATATATATATATATATATATATATATATATATATAAAGAGTTCAGATGCAAAAGCCTCTAAATGCCATCTGAAATTTTCTTCTTGAATGATGATTTTTATCAAACTTGTATATTTAAGTTCAGTAATTTTACTTAAATAACAATTAATAGGTAATTATCATTGCCATTTAAGTGAAATCACTAAACTTAAATATACAAGCTTGATAAAAATGATCATTCTAGAAGAAAATTTCAAATAGCACTTAGAGGCTTTTGCATCTGAACTCTTCATATATATATATATATATATACACAGTATATATATAAAATATATTAAATATAAATAAATATACAAAATTTCATATAAAAAATACTACTAATAATAAATATAATCCGTTATTGGTCTATAAGTCACTTTGGATACAATTGTCTGCAAAATGTATAAAAGTAAATTGAACCACGAACGACATGCCAAGTGAGCTGAACTTTATGAAGTTCAGCGAACTTCTGAGCTGTATGAACGGCGTTCGTGGTTCGATATACCCTCGGTTTTCCAAAGATAGCGGTGCCTTTATACGCGAAGTGAACTGTCTTTATAAAGTATCTTCTTATTAATCGGTCTGTACACTTACAAAGTTCTCAATGCTTCGTTTTGCATGTAGGGACCCTCATTATGTTACTGTGTTAGTGTGGGGCTATTTTCAGCCTTGTTAGTGGTATTAACTATTGATTTCTTTTTACATATTATATGCCCCCATTTACTAGCGTTATACGCTAAACAGATTTTAGAGATAAAACTCTTTACATTCGATTATCATGAAAACAAATCTCAGAAAACGATTGACTAGGTACCAAAGTTTTATTAGATCAAAGGTTGATTTTGCGCCAGAGTTCTCCTTTAATCTGTAATAAACTTAACGTATTGCATTATCATTGCCAGGTAAGCGACCTCACGAGTGCGCCATCTGTAATAAGGCGTTCAAACACAAGCACCACCTGATCGAGCACACGCGACTACACTCCGGAGAGAAGCCCTACCAGTGTGACAAGTGTGGCAAACGCTTCTCTCACTCGGGCTCTTATTCTCAGCACATGAACCACCGATACTCTTACTGCAAGAGGGACACTCATGAACTGCCAGAACAGATCAGCACCTCCACTCCTCCCTCTCACCACGACTCGGACGAGAGAGAGAGCGACGCAGAGGACGAAGAGGAAGAGGAGGAGGAAGAGGATTTATCCGCTCTGGACATGAGCGATATCAGAGTGGTGCAAGTAGGAGAGGAATACGAGGATGAGGAGGAGAGCGGGGAAGAGGAAGAGCAGGACAGAGGACATGAGGAGGAAGAGACAGAAGAAGGAGGAATGGTTATGGAAGTGGAGATTGGAGACACTGACACTCTGGAGGAGGAAGTCGGGGAAACCGTGGAAACGGAGGATGCTATGGAGACGGAGGAATCGAGGGAGGTTTCAGGCAGTGCAGAGGACACAGTTCTCACTCAAAATGAAGGAAACACAGAGACGGCAGCCGAGGACTGAAGAACGAACGCTCCTCTTTCTGTCACTCACGTGGGACTAATGAAAGAGGCGATGAGCTCTTCATCAAACTAATCGTCGGTTGCTATGGAAACCGTTTCAGCTCTTTACTGTGTATAAAACCCAGGTGTGCCTGATTTACAAAACAATATTTCCTTGTTTGAAAAAAAAAATTGAGTATAACGAGGAAAAAAAGGAGAACCAAAAACTCCAACTCAACTAGACTTCATATGACTTAAAGTTTCAGTTGTTTCGCTTTGTTCCGTTACTGAACCGACCTCGGTATGTCAAATTTTCAGTGTTCATGTGTTTTTGTTGCTCTGTACAGTCAGATTTCTATACCTTTATATTTGCCAATGAAGTTTACGAAAAAAAAAAAAATCAGTATTTTAAAGTTTTCAGAAACAAAACTAAATTCTGCACTGCAGGTATAACTGGTTTACTTACAGGGGTGATACTCACAAAAGGGTCATATTTCACTCCAAAAATCAAAAGAAATTACATTTTGCATAAAGACAATTAAGCCTATTTTTAGGACCATCACAGGCATTATTTTGATGACAATTTAACACGCCCCCTTTTCAAAAGTCTACATCGTTTGTAAAGAACAATTGTAAGTATACGCTGATTTTAATTTAAGACATACATTTTAATTCATGATGATTTTAATGTTTTAACAAAAAAGCAAAACTTAAATAATCATGAATATTTTCTTCATGCAAAATCATTTTCTTTCAACTCTTGATTTTTGTTTTGGTGTGAAATATGACCTGGGCATTTCTTTGTGAGATTTACCAGATACTTAATGCCTCAAGTTTAAAAAACCATTCAGTATTTTTGTCTTGTTAAACAGGCAATCTGTTGTTAGCATTGCCTCGTTTTCCCATGTGATTGTTTGTCTGCCTTATGAAGGAAATTAGATTGCACTTCGTTATTAAGAATTAATGATTCAATATCACACGGATCATTAATTATGGAAATTTTCATAGGAATGCTTATTGTCATTTAACAATTGAATCACTTTGTTGATATAATTTGAACTGCTCACTTCTAATGAACTTCTCAATAATTCAAATTAGATTGTAATTCTATCGAGAGGTTTTGTTGTTGTTGTTGTAATAAGCACTCCAAAAAGTTTGTCGGTAACTGTTTAAAAAAAAAATTGTATAGATACTTTTTACAATCATGACACCATATGAAAACAAAAACCGTCAGCCAGAAAAAAGGGTTCGTAATCTCAACCTCGAAGGCAGTTTCACCTGTTATTTCATTTATCTTTGTTTGGCTTTATGTTGTAGCGTGTCAGTCTGTGTTCATAGGTGATGCTCTAAGGAACCGCACACCCACAGCCTTATGCAAGACCGCCAAGCTGTAAGTGCCATTCACAGATGTTAAAATCCACAGTCACACTGGACAATCTAACTTTAGTCACCAATATGTCAACATTGGTCAAAAACCCAACAGATTTGAGAAATATACAAAAATAGAAAAGTATGTAACACTGCCATCTACCTGTGTTAATCAAAATGGCACACTTTCAAGCTGTTACAACATTTCACCTTGCGCTCCTAAAAAAGTTGTTCTCTCTCGTAGCCATAGGATTGCATTGATAAGGAAATTCATATTCTTCATCTAGGTGTTCTCTCTGTCAAGATTTCCAAGGTTCCCGGATCTATAGACTACACGAAATCTATCATCCTAAAGCCATACGACAAATATGGACCGTATGTAATATGACTGTGAAGTGCACAATTAAAGCAGCACTTTGGAAGAGGCGCATAGGATTATTATGTTTTAGTTGATTATGTCTGAGCAGACCTTACAGTATTATTAATTTCAATGTATTTCAAAATGTTTATTCTTTGTGTTTATGCATGTGTATATTGTGTAATACCATCAGTATTATTGTCATTGACAAATGTTTTTTTTGTAGAACCTTTTTATATACGTCTTATTTTTGTATTGCTTTATTTATTGCGTGTGTAATACACAATGTTGTAGTTTAACACAATGTATTTTAGATTGAATTTCAGTGCCACGAAGGAGGTTAAACCAAGAAATACAGTATATAAATCCGAACTGAACAGTATTAGTTTTATAACTTCCAAGTTATTTTTTAATACTACCACAAAGTCAATCAGGCAGACATTTGCACCCATTGTTTGTTTTGTTTTTTTGTTTTTATTAAACGCTGAACCTTTTCCAACAGCTTCATGGTAATTAATAGTAAATGACCCTTAAACCTGTGATGAAGAGCATGGATTCATGTTGTTGTACTGGTGTTGAAATTGCCATTTTGGAACCAAAATTAGTCAACCCATTTCATTTACATTTATTTTAATGTGTGCCAACTTTGCATTGTGTGTGTAAATGTCACATATTCCACGAGGTGATGATGAACCTACTTGTAAGATTTTTCTTCCTTTGTTTCCTTTTATGATGCCCCATAAAATAAAATGAAGTGAAGCACCAGGTAATGTCTTAATTACTTATTCATGCTCAAACACATTTAATGAAAGCTTGGTAATATTTAATGTTATTTCAAATTTTTCACGCAATAGTTGGTATCCAGGAAGGTGTTTAGAATTTGATATAAAACTTAGACCCAAAATTAAACAAGCCTATAATTCTTAAAAACTTGAAAAAAAGTGATAAAAACCTGTCAGCACTGACACAGCATCCACTGTTTGTGAGCTTTTTCCCCCAAAATCCCCATTAGATGAGAGAGGATATTTGGAGTAAAATTTTAGTGTGAAATAACAAGGGAGTGCTAGAACAAGAAATCAAAGATGAAACGAACAAACTGCTTCTGATTACATCTCTTTTTTTTCTTTATATGGTAAGTTTGCATCTTTACCTATAAAAATATAATCTGTCAATGTATCACCAGACAGATTAAAAAAAAAAACATTCTGGGTTCAATAATTTAGATTCTCACTTAAAAATAAATAGATGGCATTTGTAGTAACAAACTTATAACGAAAGTCTGAATCAGAACATTTCTTTATACAGCTGCCACACAAAAATGCTTTGATCAAATTAATAATATTCATCAGGTAGGAGTAAATTAGGTTCATATACTAGTTGTTAAGTTTGATGTGAGAATGTCCGTGTCAACACATGAAAAACAAAACAGTGTTACTGTGATGCTTTCTGCCCCCTGGTGGAGAAACTTTGAGAGTAACAACACTCAACAAGGTGACCGATTTGCCTTGTCAACTTTATTTTGATCAAGACAAAGCTCTGCAGCAAAGCAGAACATTTGATGAATTACATTCAACAGCTATTAACCAAATAACCATCTTAATTATTATTAAAATATTTTAATAAACCAGTCTCTAATACAATTGTGGTGCCTCCATTACCTCCATGTGCTCTTTTAGTCCTCACACATACATACACACACACACACAAATACAGTATGCCTGTCAGACATATTTACAAAGAAAAATCCAGTTTAACCCACTCACAATTTCTCCCTTTACTTATCTCTCTAATACACAATCTTCACGTGGTATTTTGTCTAAAGCATACTGAACTCTTTATTTAAATGCTGTAAGAGTTTGCATGACAAGTCTGGTCAGGAACAGTAGCGAATATGATGTCCTCACAGGGTTAAATGTGTCCTGCTCATCATCTTATTCCAGTGTTTCTCTAAGGGCCATGACGGACAGATGCACTCTCACAGCATGAAATATACCTGACATATATTTGCATTCCACAAGAGTTCATGAATCCTTTGAATTTGGACTGATCAGGAAAAAGAAGTGTCCAAATTTAGGGAGTCTACAAAATAACTCCAGTGTTTCCCAGCAGTGGTCATCTCAGAGGTCACTTCCAGCAGTCCAGAAGAGAATGAAATCCATCCCCGCAGAAATTTGATTTTAATATAAGGTAAAATCCATGTCTATCACGTCAGTCAATCTGTTGATGTGTCGCTCCAAAAAGTTTTACAGTATTACCACGGAAAGATGTCATGCAAAATTTAATACTAGTAGAATGGAAATCTAAAATTAAGCATCAGATTTCTCCCATAAGCAACATGGTTTTCAGTCGGACAGAAAAATGTCCATATTTCAAGCCCTCGTTGCTTGAACCAAATCCAAAAATGGTCCAAAAATGACAGTCCAATGGATAAGTCCATGGAAAAACATGACAATAATCTAGTCCAATAAAGATATGAGAAAGGATTTGAATGGTGGAAATTTTTTTTCTTCTAATATGGGCGGTCCTCTCATGTAAACATACCAAGACGTGTTCAGTTTTCAGACTGGCAGTCAATGGGCTGTCCGGTCTTCAGTGACTGGCCCGGGGGAATTTGGTCAAAAGGTTTTCTATGCATGTGACCTACCTGCCAAATATGGTCTCATATTCCATAAGAATGAGCTCAACAATCTGGTTCTGGTAGACCATGTGCACGGCCATATTTGCTGTCTCGATCTCCGGGCGCAGGAGCGTTGGGCCGAACACGATAGCTACACTCTGGGTGGTCATCCTGTTCTTGTCACCATGCTGGATCACTCTACAGAGAGAAGAAGATAATGAACACAGGGGCAGATGACATGACATAAACTTTACCTAAAACTGTTTCAGCATTTTTCTAATCATAAACTACCTAATTATATTACATTTATGATCATGTGCCTTCTAGAGTCTCCCTCCCCTTTTATACTCACTTCTTCAGGTGTTTGAAGAGCACCTGTATGGTGTCTTGGTTGGGCCATGGCAGTTGCTTCATCAGATCCTTAACCGCCTGAACTTTGTGCTTATACTCTGGCATTTCTACACACAACACACACAGAAGTGTTAAATGTGCAAGAAATATCTCTCTCTAAAAAGCTGAGTCTCAAATATTGGTGTCCACTCACTGATCGCAGTGATGAAGTCGTTAAAGAAAGCAAATGTGAACAGAGGTTCTGGTAGCTCGCGGAAAAACATCTTCAGAGCTCCAGTGGTCACATGAATGTCCTCCCATTTACCGTCCGCTAAATTCACTTTCTCATCTGTATTTATATGGATCATAGTGACACAAATCATCAGGGGTTTTTTTTTAATCCAGTAATCTGTTATATATAAATCAGCAATTTGTGAAATGTGTGAAATGGTGGAAGGGCGTACCATGATTAACAGCAAATCTCAGTTTTTGCATGATGGCCAAATTTCCACTGACTCTGTACAAACCATCCACTCCTAACCCTGGATGAAGGGAGAAAAAGAAATGACAAGCATTACAAATCATAAGAGGAGCGAGTTTGCAGCAGCGAGCAGCAACTCATCCTGTTTACATTCACATTATAATATTTATCAGATTCAATATTCTGATTAGTATTGAGTCTTGTTTATGTCGCAATCAAACATTTTTAAACATCTTATTTAAACAAAATCCACTGAAAGTAGACATGCACATGCTGTCCGCAAGGAACTGAGGATGCTAACAGACTCTTAGCCAGGTTTGTAGGTATGGCAACTCAAGCTAAATGGACACATGTCTGGACTGATAATAAGACTGACTTGTTTTTATGTAATTATTAAAAGAAATCAACATCAATGCTTGCCCGACTTTCTCAATTTTGTGGTGGTGTTGTCGGACACAGGAATATTACGATACTTAAAATATGTTGAGCATGGAAAGGCAGTCAGCATCAAGGAGTGAAAATAGTCATTTAAAAAGTTTTATTGAGCATAAAGTTTGAAAAAAGTTGGGGTTAGGGTTCAGCTTCACATGGTCTAAACAGAAGATTACCGGTCTTCTCCACATGCTCGATGCACATCCAGACGAAGCGTGGGACGGTGGAGGCCTCTCTCTGACAAAGACTGCTCAAACTGGAGCCAAACACCTGATCTACAAAAAGAGAAAATCAAACGATATAAAAGGCCTCTGAATTTTACAGATAACCCTGGATGTTCTGGTTCTGTTTGTAGATGCATGTGGAACCTTTAATGTAGCCCTTGTCTTTGACAGCTTGTAAAGTGGGTCTGCCTGTGAGAAGCTTCATCAGCTTGGTCTTCTTCTTCTGTTCGGCATTATCCATGCTTGCACACTTCTTAATATCTAAAGCATAAAGGGTGAGGAAGTCTATTTAAGGAATGGTACACAACTCCATGTGCACTGGGCTGAAAACATGGATTGGTAATAAACGACTGTTTATGCTAATTACATTTAAGAACTGAGCTTGAACATGTGTTAAGATCTCATAGGTGCACTCCTGGTACAAATACAGCAGATACAGAAATTACAAAGATTTGTATGTGCCATGTGAAGAGCACTCGTCTCATAGTAATATCTCTCTCTCTCTCTCTCTCTCTCTCTCTCACACACACACACACACACACACACACACATACATATATACACACCTCTGGCCTTCTTGGAGTTTCTTTGCTCTTTTTCTTTGTCATGTTTCTCAGTGTCAGGAGATTCAGACATGTCTTCTTCAATGGCCTCATCAGACTCCCACATCTGCAACACGAAACACATTAATGTCAGTACAAGGATTTAGAACAATCAGAGTGAAGATGTAATGTAAGTGCAGGTATATAGAAAAGTAATCTTACATATGTGTTTATGGCTTCAGTCAAAGCTTTATGCCATTCGAGGCCGTCGTTATCTGACTGCAAGAGGAGCTCCATGCCCTGCCGGGTCTTCAGCTACACACAAAATCAAATTAATATTAGTTACACATGAACCACGATCAAACATCAAGCAGATTTCAGCAAACCTTCAGCCAGGCTCCTTAAAAAAGGACAGGTTAATGACCTTAATGGCATTTCAACATTCAGAAGTCTTTAAATGAATAAATAATTAGACCTCATTTAACCAAATAAAGCACAGAGAGCCAATTAGGTTAATAACACCAATGGCTGATGTAATAAAAACATTTTCCCATCAAAAATGCATTGTCCCAGCCAAAGACATGTCTTTTGCATTAATTCCTTAAAATATTGTGGGGGGGTTTTATTAGTTGCTGCATGAAGTTCTGGAGATAATAAAAGGAAATAAAAACTAAACTCCTGATGGCAAACTTTCCATTGAGATAAAAGTTGGTAGAAGACCAACAGTGAGAGTCATCGATCTTGAACATTGAGGGTCAGACTATCATTTTTGCATTGTGTAAAAAATGTATGGCCAACTTTAAGCAAACTCTGTTTCATTAACTTGCCAAAACTTCCCCACTCATGTCTTCAGGGAATATAACTGTAATTAGTGATTCTGCCAATCAAACTTTAATTAAATATTTTGAAAATATAGCCTTCCTGCTAATTGATTACACACACCCTCAAACACCTCCTTAATTTATAATCAGTCAACAAAAAAAAATTGAGATTAGTTTCCAACAGGCTGTTTACCTCTAGAACTTGTTTCTTGCTGGATTTGTCTTTAGACGCCCAGTCCACTGACCCTCCTCTGAGATCCAAACTGAACTCCAGCTTCTGGTCTCTTCCAAACTGTTGAGAGAACAACACATTAACATACAACCCAGACATATAAAACTGAGTACATCACAGGGGTTACTAATGATTTCCTCTCAGCACTGAACGATTACTCACCCAACCAGTCCCGCTCCCTTGGCCCTTATTAAACAGCAGTGATGAACCCTGCAAAACTGTCCAATATGAGGTCCAGTTCTTCCTGTAGGCATTAGACAAATAAACCAAATAACAATATCAGCATGGCACAGTTAGTCATTTGTTTGATCTGTCAGATGAATGGGAGCATTCCCTCCATGTTTGTTTCTACTTACCGGACCTTTTTCCCATGTTCAGTGATTTTAGTCATGTTTAAAGTGCCACATTTCTCTGAAGGCTGAAAGAAAGAATAGAAAAGCTGTTGTGAAAAGAGGGAAAAAAAGATAAACCTAAATAAAAAAAAACTACAGTTAAGAGTGATCAACAGCAAAAGTAAGAAGAAACAAGCAACAAAGACTGAACCACCATAAGAGAAATTACAAAAGAACAGTGGTTTATACCAGTTTGCAGTGTGTTGTACTGAACTGTGCTTTAATATTTAATAGAGAAGCAAAAAAAAAAAAAAAAAAAAAAAACATACAAAACCAGCAAATCAAGCTTGAAAAATGGATACTTTTAAGGCCCGATTGGATGAGCATTCAAAGCATGTGAAAATACAAAATAGCTGATGTAGACACCTGTGATATATTCTGTCAATCCACCACACCGACTTAAAATTACTTTACATTCATTAGCAATGATATTAATAAAAAGTAATCACTTGACAGTCTTGGTATATTGCAGTTGCTTTCTAAAGGCATTGATCCATGAGATGTTGTCCAGTGACTACCATGGCCAAAAGTGTTTTTACCATGGCCAAGAGTGTTTTTATCAATCCACTTCATATTGAGCTTAAAAACAGCCCTTAACGGAAAGGTTCTCATTGTTATTAATTTATTATAAACCCACACCACAAGCACAAAGCATAGTCAGAGCTCCGCATTAAGAGAGAAGTTAAGAAACGGCAGAGAAAAATAAACAAAAGGGGGAAAAATTAGGACTGTGAAGAGAAAAGATGGAGGATACTTATACTAACAGAGTGGGGGGGTTTAGGAGAGGAGGGGCAGGACGAGTCGGAGTCGGGGGAGCCTGTTTTAGTGTCCTAGACAAGAAAACAACAAACCACATAATTCAAACTCTTCAACACCTGTAATAATATATTAATCAGATAGTATTCCACTTCTTTCTCCATTTCAGGATCAATCAAGATATTCTGTCTTTGCTTAAAGTCACAATCATTTATTAGATCAAAACAGGTTGTTTTGAAGACAGCATCAGTTTCCAAAGCCAGACAGGACATGTTTTTTACTACTGATCTTTAAATCAAAGTGATCAATCATACAAGTGTAAAGCATTTCTCAAATCATTAAAGAGACGGTTCTTTCAGATCATCTCCGTATCTTTACACCACTCACAAAATAAACATTCTAGAGGATCTGAGCAACACAAGTGTGTTTACATAATGACAGCGAGTTGAAACGATTCCTTCAAGCAGGATGATATATTCAAGTGCAATTTTTAGGGATGCTCCGATCGATTGGGCGCAGATTGATATCGGCCGATAATCACATTATTTGACTCGAGTCACAAAACATTAGTTAACCATAATAAATTACACATCTCTATTTATAACAGTTTATCTTGTTTCAAACAAGCTCACAAACAACATAACATGATGCGTAGATCTTGTGAAAATCCTCAAGGAGAGACATGACATGCTGCGCTGCGTGGCTAAAGCTATAGGACTTCAAACACAGTGCTTTACAACATAATTTGAAAGTTCAATCAATTGAAACTGGATCTCGGGTATTGTGGGTAGGGAATATGCGTTGAGACCAATCAGACACTGTTCTACAGCTAGAGAGCGCTCGGATTGACGGGTCTGAATTTCTGCCGAAATCGATAGTCGAATCTGCTGCAATAATCCTGATTGGAGCATCCCAAGCAATTTCTCATGCAGTTTGTGCAGATTTGTGCAGAAATCACTGTGTACTGAAATGAGTTGCAATGGGCAAAAATGTGCATGCATCATCTCATTCGACGTAATTGGTTCCTGGAATATAGGGGCGGGACAACACTGACTTGTGGCCTATAAGGGTGAGAGCGGAAGGTGCTTTTGCGGTGCGGGAGGAAGGCTCGTCGGTCCTTGACAGATTTCTGTTTTAACTTAAGTCAAACATTAAGCACATGTGAACATCACCCAAAACAGAATGGGGGAGTTTTTCTTCACTAAAAAAACAAAACTGTTAATTTCAACCAGACCAGTGCTAATAAATAAAATAACTGTAGCAGTTACATTGTGACACAATACCTAATCAATCTTCATAAAAGACTGAGAAAAAAGAAATAACTAAATGAAGATAAAACCATAAAACAATGTTTGATTATTCAAAAATTCAGTAAAAATGTCAGACTCGAGAGTAGTTTTATCATGCATGTTGTCACTGTCTCCTGTATAATGTTAGGAAGACCCATTTTCTCTCTTAGTTTGTATGTTAATGTATGAGTACCTTGTCATTGGACTCTGAATATATGCTGCGCCTCGTCCTAATGATAGGAATGGGATCTGGCAGTCTCCGATCAAGACTACGAGTTTTGTGTGCTTCCCCTGGCAGCAGAGGTGCGTGGTTAGACTAGAACGAGAAGGTGGGACGAGAAGATGCAAAATTATTATGGCATGCATGTTAGGCAAACAAAGCTTGATATACTTGCAATGTGTGCATGCACACACAGACACACTTTAAATAAAACACCACGCAGGGTATTGAAACCGGGATTATTTGGCATAAATCAAATTGAAAGGGATATCTGGGACTTCCTGACAATATATTTTTAATGCTAATAAGAACCGGGATCTGTTGTTTGTCTCACCTGTGATTTGAGACCAATTTTAGGAAGCTCCCATTCAGATCTGGAGTCACCTGCACTGTAGTAATACAGCCGGCCTCGCTCGTCTGTGTGTCTCAACCACTATACATATACAAAACACACACAGGCATGATGTGCAAAATAACATCTTCAAAATGAACTAGTCAACGAGTTGCCTGAACAACTCGGCCTGCCTGTTTACACCTGGTATTAAGTTGCACTTTGGTTGCTTAATACAGGTGTAAACGGGGTCTAAAACATTCTGAGATTGTCCACTTTCTACCACTTATAGAGGTAGTCGAATACACATTCGACCAAATTGCCTTCATGGTGTAGATGCTCATGTGGCTGAATGTGTTAAAACAGGCACAAAAGATGCCTTCTCTCCACCTACTGACCTAATGCCTAAACATTAAACTTTGTCAGCTAGAGACCCAAGTTTGGTTTGAGAGGAAAAACATAAGCACAATGTTCTTGTCAGCATTCCTGATTTCTAACACGCCCGAGCAGAGCAGAAATGAAAGCTGTTGCTCTCTCTGTTTCTCCATCATCTCCGATCACTTTCATATGTAATTTGCATGAGGATATTTCATCCATTTGGTCGAAAGATACCAAAAAAGCCCAAATATTTACCCAGCTGTAAACACTCCCCTTGAAGAAATAAGGGACCGAGATTAGAGAGACGGATTAAAACACCAGGTGTAAATGGGATCTGATTGACCGAAAGTGGGTCGCAAGACCGCTCTGAGTGGGCGTCACTCAAGTGCGTCAAGTCAAAACAACATCAAAAACAAAAAAATCTAAATGTTTTTCTGATGCAAGACTTTTATTTTGAAAGACATGAAAACCATAAAAGCTGTTGATTTGCCTGTCTGAGAAAAACGTGTTGTCCCAAATCAGTATCTGCGGTCAGATGAAATGTCATGCGATAAGGCTTTAATCAGGCTAGAAATTTTTGACTAACAAATAAATCACAGCTTACTGCCAGCACAAAATAAAGCAGCGCAAATAAAATATATATTTAAAAAAAAACTTCATTAGTTAGGTTAGTAAAACGGTCAAGCAAGCACTAACACAATGAGTTTGCCTTTGTACCTTCTCATTAGTATAGTCAGACACATACAGAGTGTGTCCATGCTCATCCATTTCTTCAAACCAGCCTCTAGGGGGCGAACCGTACTGACTGTCTGATTGGCTGCTCAGACAGTTTTCCTCCGATGACAGAACCTTCACCCAGCCAATCACAAAAAAAGCAAAACGAGTAGAAATGAAGAAAAAGAGAGAAAAAGAAAGTGAACTAGTTAATTAAGAGATGCAGACAAGGAAAAGAGAGAAGAGAAACAAATCACCAATCAGTCACAATCAACCCGTTGCCCACAAGATTTAAGAAACCTAGTTACCCCAAATGCTTTGCATGCACATAAACATACAGAAGGTAGAGAAAGAGTTTAGCTATCCCATTAAGCATTTCCCAATGCCACAGAGGATATTTTGTCCCTGATGGAGTTATGCCCCTTTGCAAGCCACATATGATGATTTGATTTTGTGTCTGTGTGTGTGTGTGTTTATGCGTGCATGCATCACCGTCTGTTGTAAAGTGTCTAATCTGAGGGTGTGTACCTCCGTGTCAGTCATTTCTTGTTTCCCCTCTTTTCTGTTGAGGCTATCCCGTGCCCGTGGGGGTTTCCAGGTCCTCTCCTGCGTGCTGCGGTTGTAGTAGAAGAGTCTGCCATTCTGGTCTTTGTGAGTCTCCCAGTCGCCAATGGTGTGGAGTGGAGAGGAGGATGGCTGTGGAGGGGTGGATGACTGAGAGATCTTCAACTCCTGCAGGTTTGTGTAAACAGGAGAATCAGGCCTGCCCTGCCCTGAACCTAAAGTCTGCAAGAGAAGAGAGAGAGACAGAGTGAATCAATCCTTGGAGTTACAGCACCCGTCTCCCAACATTGCTGCCCCATCAGATGATGACGCCCTATGCAACAAACAATTGACAACTGTATTGAAAACTGTATAGAAAAACAATTAATTTCATGTTTTACATGGTAATTCAGGGGTTCTCAAATGTCCATGGGACCCACATTTTCCCATGGTCATTAGGCCTCGACCCAGTGTGTGTGTGTTTTAAAAGCAAATTTTATATATGTGCGTATGTATGTACATTTGATGCGTTGGCAGGTGCCCTGTATTTTACACTAAATTGCCAAAAGTCTTGGTATGTCTGCCTTTACATGCACATTAACTTCAATGACATCCTATTCTTAACCCAAAGGGTTTAATATGGAGTTGGCCCACCCTTTGCAGCTATAACAGCTTCAACTCTTCTGGGAAGGCTTTCCACAAGGTTTAAGAAGGCCTGACCTCACAAATGGGCTTCTAAACATTTAGAATAAAATTTTTTGTTCTTGATGTTTCTTGGGCGGCACACTCCCCGACCAACCAGTTAACCCTCTTGGCGCCACGGTCGAGTTTACTCGACAAGATGCGTCACTGAATAGAACGGCCGATTTTGTCAAATCGGGTGTCAAATTTCAGATCTGGCCGTGCTCGCGCTGCTCGTATCATCTCTTATAATCTGCGCTTTGCCACAACGAGGGATCTTTTGAACTAAACAGGTCTTGTCTACTTGTGTTTGTGTGTCATATGAATAATATATATGTGCCCCATACATGGAATCAGTGCCTACTGTATGTAGTAAATGGAAAATCTCTACAGCAAAAGGCCAACCACTACATGCATACGGTTTGTTCCATCATTTATTTAGCAATGATTTACACAGTTTGTTTACTACTTACTATATACCTGAGCATTTAGTATTGTGCAATATAGCATACAGAAGGTGATGGACATTTTGGGGGGAAATAAGTGCTGCATTTTATCATTTAAACGTGACTTTATGAAAATTCTATAAGCCATGATTGCTGCCACCATATGACGTCATAATATGCAAATTAGATGGGGAAATTGAATGCCTACATAAACATTGGGTCATCCTTAATATTTCTCTAATTTACAGAACGTATCTATCTTGTTTCACTTTTAAGATATAGTCTTTTGAAATTAAGATGTCAAAATCAAACGTTTTAGGAAAAAACCTCTGGCAAAAACTGCTCATAGGCACACTGATTTTTCTCCATGTCAAAGTTCCTGTTATATGACCGGTTAAAGTTTCCATTTTTCCAGATTTTTGCCATATTTGCTTGAACAGAAACCTAAATTGCATTAATGGCATCTGCGGCAGCCTAAATTTATAGTACACCCTAATACTCACAGAAACTGATTCGAATAGTATTTTCCTTCTATTGCTACATGACGGATATTATGATTAGAACAATAGAGTCACAGTCAAAGAGGTAAACAGAGGGGATAGATTAGAGAGAGGGAAAGACCGTCATTCATACCTGAAACTATTTACGGAAGAACCTGCACAACCACATTCCAGCCCTTATAACACACATCTGAATGCTCACTTAACCACAAGGCATCTCGACAAGGTTACATTTGCAATGAATAAAAATTTGTTTAAATAAAATAATCTGGATAATGAGGAAAATGGAACAAGGAGAAATGCAATGCAACAAAAAAGCACTAAAAGAAGAATTTGACAAACCTCTATGCTCACAAAATACTGAAACAGAGAACGATGGAGAACAATTGTGTCAGAGCTTGTCATTCAATCAAACCTATTATACAACAGCATCAGTAAATTAATTATGACTAAGCACATTAGAGCAAGTGTGTGTGAGAAAGTGTGTATAATCATTTATTATAATGTGAATCATAATGCATGTGAAGTGCACCAGTCCATCACTGCAGTGTCCGAAACAAGGTAATGAGCTCACATGAATGTGTGCATAGTGAACCAGGATGGCACTAAACAGTTTAAGCCACATAGAGGATAATGTCATCAGATTAAAGACTGCCTGAAGCGCATAAACATACAGTACGCTAATGGCGTGGTGTGATTAAACCAAGTCAGACTTTTAAGGACAACATGAACCCAAAGCAACATTGAGAACCTACACCCGATATCCCAAAAATGATCACATGTGATCACAACGATAATGTAAAACTTCATAACATTCCCAATTACTGAAGAAAAAAAAATATTGAAATGAATGGGAATCGGTGTCAGAAAAAGAGTTGTGTGCATCCTAGTTAATCTTAATTTACAACTATAAACACTAATTTCAGCCTGCTGGGGCCATTTGGCTCATAGTAGTGGGGATGACATATTGGACAAAGCGGCCACAAAATTCATGTTTCATCTATCTGCCCAGTGATGTGCACTGAACAGTTTATGCTCTAAATATTTTATTAAGTATAATAGGATAACAGAAAGTTGGAATGCTAACTTAAAGAGTAATATTTGCAAAACATAACTATAGACATAACAAATCCCTTACTAACACTAGACCCAATTATGCTGTCTCTCGTGTGCTGAAGCAGGATTATGTAATGGCTTAGAGTGTGAAATGTGGGGGAAAAACATTATTTGTTGTTGAAACAAACGACTGAATGTGTATGAATGAAAGATGAATGGTGGTACATGAAAAGCCAGGGGCAATAAAAACACACAACTAGTTTCCACTATGGAAACTCACCAATTAAACATTTTAAATTCACTGGATATGGATCAGTAGATAAAAATATGCATCACAACGACAACAATTGAATCTAAAAACAAAAAAAAAAAAAACAAGCATTGTATAAACAAATTATCCACAAACACAAAGGGTAGTTAATAAAAGCATATCAAGGGAGAAGATAAAGTGCTTTTTAAACTTTAAACAAGCCTGTTCCTGATTATTCAAAGAAAGCACGATTGTATATTAGATGGGTGAGCACCCAAGAAACCAGCTTAAGAGGCGTAAATAAACAGCCAGCAGGTGGCGTAATGCGCACCCTGTAAGTCTGTGGATCCTCTTGTTTTAAGATAGGGGACTACGCTTTCAGGTGACATTAAACATGACACCTCTCATGACAATCAATGGGCCTTCCATTACAAAAATATTTGATTATTTCTTTCTAAATCTTGCCAAATAATCTTTTAAATATTCTCTATGGCCAGCTTCAACTCCATACCAGCGTGATGAATAGATCTTCAAGCAAAAGCTGATCCCAATTTGAACTCGGACTTTTGATGCAACCTGAATCATAATGACATTGTGTTCGTGAACTGGCCCCCCAAATCTAACACTGTTGTATGAGAAATAAATCAACACTGAACTGACATCTGTAAAGCTGCTTTAAAACAATCTTGACTGATTCGCACCCCGGCCGAACAGCTAATCTGTGCTATTGCCTGAATGGCTGAAGTTTCATCACTGTGAAGACAAAGTCATCACCATCGTGAAGAAGCTGTAGTTTTGTTTTAGCATGCAACCAGAGAAGAAGTTTTATCTTAGTAGTACTTTATGATACCCAGTCTTTAACATTAAAATCCTTCTCTAAACTAAACTATGGTACGATACTCTTTCTAACATTTAGTAGTAGCATAGAAAATTCTGGTGTGACAAGCTCCAAGTGAACATTTTTTGATTAATTTCCAATTAGAGCCTAAAGAAGAATCGGGTGCAGCACTGAATTGTACAGTGTGTGCAACATTTTGATAATCGAAAACAGTACAATCATGTACCTTAATGTGCCTTTATGCATAAGCGAGTGTAAGGGTGTGCACTGCAAGCAGGATAGTGAGCAAGACATGGTGAGTGCTGGAATGAGGAAGTGTAAGTGTTCTTGCAGCAAGTCAGAACAAAATCCCTGGAATAAAGAAGAGAGCAAAGCTGACTCCATTTCTCCCTCTCTTTGCCTCCAACTATCTTTTGTAGCCCTCATTCCTTTCTCTACCCTTTATATCTCCCTGTTTTTTCTTTCTATACCTCTCCCTCTCTTATAGCCTTTGTAACCCTACTCTAACTCTTACTGCCATGGCAAATATTTGCACATTTGTACTGCTAAAGGATTTACAGCTATACAACAATTGACAAAAAAGGTAAAGAGATGACTTTAACAAGTTAGAAATGAATGCATATAGTAAATATGAAACATACACTCTACAACGTCAAATGTGGACTAAACCAACTGTTGTTGTTGTTGTTTTTTTAATTAGCTGGGTTTGTCCATATTTGACCCAAACATGGGTTGAAACAACCCAGCATTTTTTAGCGTGTACTAAAATAAGGAAGAGCATTTTGAAATTTGAGACTTATTTTCTTCCTTAACCTCTCAATTTCTTCTTTCATTGTTAACTTCATATATCCATAATTTCCACCGCTCTGTTTCTGACATGAGAAGACTTAACACCTCAAATAAGCAGAACACTGTGTGCCAACATGCCCTAAAGACTCAGACGAGTGTGTTTGCGTGCTGCTCTATAATAGACACGCAGCCAAAAACACAAAAGAAAGAGGGGATCGAAGATAGATGTGTTCAAAAAAAGAAAAGGCCATTAAAAGGGAAAGGGAAAAAAACAAGAGTGAGGGGAACGGATGGAAGAAAAGCATAGTAAAACAAAGTCTAAATCACAGAAACATCCAGCTCAATACCGCACACTAGGACCAAAGCATCCTCGAATGAGTCAGCAAGAGAGAGACATAATCTGGTAATCTAATAATGCCTGAGTGAATCATTTTTGAGTTGCTCCTCTCATTCTATCACGAAAGGGTCATCTCTGCATCTCTGGGTAACAAACGCAGTTTTCGTCTGCGTTTGTTGTATACAAATAGACCCTCTGTGACCATTTATAGATTGGACGGACACAAACGACCAACCTTAATCCACTACAGACCAGTCTTAGAAAGCTTCTCACTTTATTAAGAATAATCCTGCATGTATATGTCCTCTGAGCTAAGGAGGATGGGACATAGATTATGCAGTGCAAT